CGTGAAGAATGAAGTGCCGCTTTAATGGTTAAGACTGTACTATTGGACAACATGATACGTGCCTTTCCGTATCCTTTAATCAGGTTGGATGGCCCTGAAAGGGTTGTCAGATGTGCTTTCTTGGGTATAAAGTTAGTAAAATAGTGTCGCACATGCAAAATGGTGTGCGTAGTAGCACTATCAGCTAGACAACTTACTTCCCCACTAGACATACCTAGAAATAAACTGATTGAATTGGTCACATGCATAAATATAAGTCCATTCATTCAATTAAGCAATTCGAGAAATAATATCCATAAAATAACAATCCATAATTCAAAACAAACCAAAACCAAACAAATTATTCCAAATACTTAGAAAAATTGTTCAAAATTAAACCATAAACCTAGAAAAAAAGGGAAGAGGGGCCGGCCACTAAGGTCAAACACCCTAAAACCATGTCTAATTTATTCGACCATAGGTGCTGACGCCTCCTGAAAATCCGATATCTCCATAAATGTAGTAACATATTCCGGATGATCTAAATGTGCAAAGTTAGACTCACGATGGGAAGGATACTTGGCAATAGCCTCGGGGTTAGCTTGGCATACGCGTGACCAATGATCTTTTGATCCACAACTGTAGCACATGTCCATTTCAGTGGAAATCGGTTGAGCAGTAGCTTTTCCTTTGTTTTTGAAGTTCGGGGCCTTAAATGCAAATGGTGGACGTTGCTGGGTCATATTTCCTCCCTTGGGGCTGGCACTTTGTTGACCTTGGGCTAGTGGTTGGGCTTGTCGCCTATTGCCATGGCCACGATGATTCTTTCATTGTTTGTGGCTGTTAGAATTGGGCACATGTGCTTTAGGCTCGACGTTCAAGCCAGGTGGTCGAGATTGATGATTCTTTATCAAAAGATGGTTCTACTTTTTAGTGAGAAGTAGTACAAAGATCAAATCCAAAAACTTGGTGAATTTTTATGCCCTATATTTTTGTTGCAGGATAATATTGGTGGCATGAAAGGTCGAATAGGTCTTCTCCATGAGATCTGATTCAGTAAGTTCCACTTTATAGAACTTCAATAGGGATCGAATTCTACAAACTTCAAAGTTGTATTCATTGACGAACTTAAAGTCTTGGAAGCGAAGATGCTGCCTGTCGTGTCTTACTTCAGGCAAGTATATATCTTTCTGTTGATCGAAACGGTTAGCCAGAGCAAGCCAGAGGGTGCGTGGGTCATCCTCAATGAGGTACTCGGTCTGCAGAGCATCATGGATGTGTCTTTGAATGAAGATTATTGCAGTAGCTTTCTGAGCTTCGTCGACAGGTTTATCGTTTGTGGGTGCCTCGATGGTGGCTCTAATACCCTTTGCAGCGAGATAGAGCTTCATGTCTTGAACCCACTTCAGGTAGTTTTTTCTTGATACTTCCAGAACGGTGAAATTGAGCTTGTTTAAGTTCGACATGTCCCTAAAACAGAGGGTAAAAAAAAATGTGATTAGTCATATGGTGATCCATAGACATATATCGTAGAACATTCAGGTTCTATAGACATGTATTGGTTTAATTTACGCATGAAAACTACTGGTTTCATGTGGTAAGTTTTGAATGAAAACTTCAGGTTTCAAAGGCACTAAATATGAAACTACAGGTTCAATTTAGTTTTTATGAACAATTAGTTCATAAATGAAAGGTTTCTACAAAAAACACAGAATGCAATATACTGACTTAAGTGTAGTGAATTTGAGTTTCTTCAGGAACTCAAGTGTGAGAGCTTCATTAATACGAAGGTAGGTCAACAGTTCAAAGTATAAAAATAAATTATTGAATCGATGATGTCCAAAAGTGATCTTCAGGTCAATAATTTTGGATTTAATCATCAGATTAATGGACTGCAGGTCAATTTTAATTAATTCAATAGATCGGGACCGAATAGAGTCGATTGTGGAAGCAAAATAATATGGGAGAAAGGCCCTGCAGGTTCGGCTGCAGGCGTGTTGGGCTCGTTGAGGGCTGCAGGCCTAGGGTTGAGAGGGTTTGGGGAGCTTAACAGCCAAGGCTACTAGCTTCAAGTCGAAACTGGGACACGGGGCAGGCCCAGCAAAAAGTTGGCCTTTTAAGTTGGTCTGGGGAAGCCCAAAAAAGCTGGGTTTCATGTTTTAGGTCTAGGGAAAATTAAGCCCAGCAACATAAAGCTGCTGGCGAGTGGGCTGAGACTAGGACGAAGCCCAATGAGCATACGGGCTGCTACAGGCGAGCCGGATTATGGGCAACAAGGAAGCCTAGTAGCTTAGGGTTGCTAGAGTTGGGCCAGGGACTCGGGACAACAGGCTAAGAAAAGGCTATAGGTTTTTCTTGGGTGGGCTAAGGGACTTCAGGCCCTATAAAGTAAGTAGGTCGGAGGCCTAGGGTTTGGGTCAGCGCAGCAGCCTGCTGTGAGGTCTAAGTTGTCTAAAATGACATAGTGCCATGTTATGCTCCACACGGTTGGGCTTCAGGCCAGTGGTGGTGTCTTGGTGAAGCCACGGTGGTGATGCGGTAGTGTTGCCGCATGTTTCCCAAATTTTTTTTTTGACATTCCTAGGGTTTGAAAAACCCTAAATCGCTTATAATTTATTAATATGCTTTGACTCACAATTCCACATAGCAAATTAATTGCGTAATGCATGAAACATATATATATATATATATATTGACAATCATATGAAACATATATGATATATTTATATTGTAAGGAAAATATAAACATAGAGGGGTTCATGCATCATGGGGAATATTTTCATGCTTCGTGGACGTTTCAAATATCTTCATTTATTTCAAGCGTACCTAATTAGCAGAAAACAAAGAATAACCTTTGAAATGTGTGGAAGATAGCCTCCTCCTATGATCCGTCAAGTCCTCAGCTTCTAGCAAGAGTGTGTTGATAACGTATTGTAGGCCTATTTAATTGAGCTATCTAAAGGTTTAGAGAGAGGGAGACCGGCGGTAGTGAGAGAGAGAAGAGAGAGATTTAATTGTGAGATGTGTATTGTATCACCCCCATTGTACCTTTATTTATAGTAGTAGGATATACAAAAACCTTACCCTTTAGGATTACAACTCTTAATAGGTAATCAACTCCTAATATGAATATAAGATATATTCCTAGATCTATTAGGATTTACTCAATCACATTCTTATTCTAAATATGACTGCAACAATTTGGTTATTTTACAATAATTCTCCTTAAAAATCTTTGTTTTCATTTATTTCTTCTTTTCTTTTGTTGTTTTTAACTTCTGGTCCACCATTCCCCATCTATTTTTTTTAATTTCTCCTCTCAACTCTTAGTCGAATTAAGTGATGAGTAGTGATTGCGGTTCGTAATATCTTCTTCTAACTATCTTTATCTTACTCTATAGCTTACTCTTTGATTGTAATTTTACTTTATCTTACTCTTTCTATTGTTCACTCCACTTGAATAGGTTCGATTCATGTGGTGACAAATTCGATATACCAATTTATTAAAGTTAGTTTATTGTGTGCAAATTCTCATCTCTTAGTGTAAATATATCGCTTTATAAAAAATAAACAAAAATATGATAAATCCATGGTGCATATTAGAAATTAAAAAAAAATAGAGCTTCACATTTCTAAAATGACCCCTTATATATGTGAAGTAGCAGATTCACCACTACTTGTGTCCACTGCATAATATTTCTTATGATCTGAATTGATCATTTTAAAGTGATGTCATCACTGCAACAATTCACTTAAATCGGAAAGTATTTAGTTATCTAACTATACTTGGGTTTTTATTTTTATTTATTTTTTTATATATTTATATATATTATTTTATTTTATTTTATTTATTTTTTTAAAGGAACAGTTGGTGATAAGCCATGGTTATCCACCCAGTCCGGGGGCTAGGAAGACTTACAAAGGCATTTCAGCCTTTCCCTGATCACAATCAAGCAAACTCACCAACTTGGAGTTTCAAACACGGGACTTCCTTGTTTTTTGTATTTTGGGAGCTACATAGTTAGACAAATCACAGTGTTAGACAAATCACAATGTATTTTGGGAGCTGACTTTGGCCAAATAGTTAGACAAATCACAATCTTGTAGATGATGCTTTACCACAATGGGGAAAAACAATCATATCTATGTATTCTAGTGCGGGTTTGATCTCCACCGATCTTCTTTACCCAAACAACTAACAATTTAACCCACTACCAATATCATTTGTCAAAAAAAAAAAAAAAAAAAACGTAGGTCTCAAACAATTCCCCGTTGAACTCAATTTTCTTTAAATTTAATCCCACTTATTGAGGTAATTGATTTTCTATGATCCATAAATGGGAAATTTGAAAATGTCCTTTTCTAGAGGCTTGAAAAAGACCTTTTCCCTTTTATTACCGAACTCTTATAATTTTTTCCTTTTTTACGTGTCAAAAAACTTAACTAATCCTAATTGCATTGAATTTTTTTGTTTAGTTTCTATTGCTCCTGACCCCCTCAAGAGCAACTCAACCTCATCTCGACGCCCTTGAATAATATAGCAGCAAGTAAATATAATACTCAAGACAAGAGAAATGATTTGACAAGCACTCGAGGTGTCGTCGAAGGATCTCGAGAAATGAAGAATAGGCTAATGGTTTGCATGCGATTAAAACTATAAGAAAAATAGTCTTTTATTTTCTTCCCAAAAAACGAAATGAAGAATAGGCTATTTTTTTTTTTTTTTCAAAATTGAAAAGCACAATTCCTTTTCAACCTCGAAAAAATAGCACTTTTCTAAATTCCTAGGCATAATCAAAGATTTTAAACATAAATTTTAAATTTGGTAAATATTGAATTTTATAGGATACATAAAACAAACAAAAAAACTCTAAAGGGCCATCAATTTTATGCTCTAAACAGTTGACTATGACAATTTAACCTTAAGTTGACTATATTAACTACATTGGAGAAGTAGCAGAGATGAACAATTATAAAACCAAAAAATGAAGTTTTATAGGGAGAAGAGAAATGTGAGAAAAAAATGAATGAAGGTTTTGTATTGAATTCAATGACTAATTTTACTATATCTTTACAATAGCTATATATAGTTGACTAGAGGACTAGCTCATAAGCTTTGAGTAACAAACTCTAACTAACTCTTTCAACTAACTATTACATCGTCCAATCCTTTACAACTGTTTTGATGAGTGGCAGTGATGAGTTGGTAGTGATATATTCAACATCCTCCCTCAATCTCAGATAAAAGGACTGAAAACATAACCTTCGCAAAAAATCTTGAGCTGAGCATTTCGTCAAACACTTGGACTGCATAAAGTTCTAAACTTTCTTCCACACTGGAAAACAAATTAGGGATCAAAGTCGCAAAAAAATATAATTCAGAAAGCTGATCAGAGTACGCCACCAAGAGGAAAGAACTATATCGAAGGCACCGAAACGCACCATAAATTGATGACCGAGTGTTATTCCTAACACCGCACCATGTCCGGAGGAAAACCCATTTCCAGAGCAAAACCCAAATTGTAGACCACCATCACGAGCCCCTCCAAGGTGAGGGTATTCCACTGGATCCAAGAATTTGCTTGAAAACCCATTTTTTTCCCTAGTATCAGGAGGTGAAGAACTCGATGAAAATCTTTTTTAAAAGCCAACAAATCAATTGGATTACCACATATTCGATTGATCCTACCAAGCAATGACCATAACAACTGGATACATACATACATACATATATATATATATATATATATATGAATGGGACTTAACTTAATGTGAAAGCTTGTTGCAGAAAAGAAACATGGAAAGTCAAAAAGGTTTAAGAAATACAATACCAAAAGTAGAAAGAAATTAAGACAAACAAAGGAAAATAACGAAGAAAAACTATGATAAAAAGGAAGTTTCTATGTGCACTGAAACATGCCATGACCTACCGGCAATGTTTTAAAAACTCTCACCTAGCGCCTAAACGTGATAAAAAAGAAGTTTTTGTGTGCACCGAACCAAGCCATGACCTACAGGCACTATTCTAAAAACTCTCACCTAGCACCCCCAAGACCTCGTTTAGGTGTTAAGAGGTTGACCACTGCTCTGATTAATTCTTAGACGTTTGAAAATTAAGAAATGACATTTAGACCTGCTTAGGTGCCCACCTAGACCGCCTAGGCGTCTTCCTAACCTGCCTAGACACGCCTAGGTCACGATTCTCACTTAGGCAGAAAAGAGATAATCTTCATTTTGCATTTTATTCCTCATGTTTTCATTACGTTCTAATACTTTATAATCTATATGTCATTCTATTTTGTAGTTTTGTCATCCCAATAGAATTATGTATTTTTTTAAGTATAAACAGACTTTTATTTATACGATATATAATATACTTAAATCCGCTTAGGCCCTGACCTAATTGCCTAGGTACTACACCCTAACCTGTCGCCAACTAGCGCCTAGCATCTTTTAGAATCTTGCTTGTAGGTCTCAGTTGCATTTTCCTTTCTAATGGGAGGAAGTTTCCTTTTTTTTTTCTTTTTTTTTTTTTTTAATGTGTTCTCTTTTATATATACTTAGGCAGCCCATGAAATTTTTTTTATCCACACATCTCTTTTTACTTCCCACACATTCTATGTTGATTTATGTTCTTTGATTTTCTTTTTATTTGATTCAATGATCGGAAATTAGGAGAGGTGTGAGAGGTAAAAAGGGGTGCGTAGATACCACCACCCACTCATTGGGTTTGTACATCTACTAGATAGAGGGAAATTAGTACAATAAACATATTTTTGTTGAAAACCTAGCCCATTTGAATTAGGGTTTTTTAGGTTTTGTTTTATATAAATATAACTTGTAGTTTAATATAAGAATAAAGTTAGCCACAATATAGCCTCTCATAGTAGCCGTTTGGGGAATTTGTTGTGTTCTCTTTCTTCAATTAATAAAGTTTTATTCATAATTTTATATTCAGTTTGAACCACATTATTGCTAGCTCATTGTGAGACTAAACCCACCCCCTCCCCTATAATATCGTTGTTCAAAAAAGAAAAAAAACCTATTTTGACATCAATGCATAAATGATCAACATTTATTATGTCGTCATTATATATATCATTGTTGTCGTTATGTCATCGCTAAATCGTTGATATGTGATTAATATGTCGTTATTACTGAAAATGATCATTTCTACAAACTCAATGTCAAAATGTGTTTATTGTAGCTATTTTCCTTAAAGAAAACGCATCTGATTAATGTCTTAGCAATATCTATTCCACACTATGTATCTTAATTACATGCAAAACGTACTATGCTAGTTAATATATAAAATATTAATGTTTGACTTGTGACATGATGTTCTACAATTTGATTTCAGGTCACGTGTCACGTATTTAAAAGGTGGATTTAACTTATATATTGGATTTTTTTTTCATAAGTACAAACTTAACTATATTGGTTTAACTTATACGTTTACAAGTATTCACGTTATAAATTATATGTCACATATACATATAATATTTTTCTTTCTATAATTGTAAGTTAAGCACAAGATGGGTTGTACTTTGTTTGGTAATTAAGAAGGGAGTTTGTACCGGTGGTGTTTGTACATGTGGTATTATTTATGTTTGTTTGTGTTATGGCAAAAAAAAATGTTTACCTTGTTTGTGCAAATTACCTCCGACCGAATCATTGATCACTCAAAAAAATATTCTCATAAGACTCTATCGTTTTCTTTAAAAAAACAAAAAAACAAAACAACAAATTAAGAATATAACTATAGCTATAGTTATAGCTTATCGGGAAGAAAAAGGGGAAACAACAAAGTAGAAATGATCCCATTGTAAATTCATGGAGTTTTTTGATATGGGTCCAAAGTAACTAAAAATTGGACTTATTTCAAAAGTCAAAAGTCACTAAAAATTGGACCTATTTCAAAAGGTAGTCTATAAAATTGGACCTATTTCAAATTTTCCCTTAATTTCATTACATGGATATATGTATATATTGTTTTTTTTTAATAAACGATAGGATATTTTACATTAAATTATTGAGATTAAATTCAAACGTGAACGCAAAGAGATGAGCACGCGACTCTAGCTAATTTAACTATGTCTACCGAAGATAAGATATCACTGAAAGAATAAATAAAGAATTAAATTATGAGTATATGGTATTTGGTCCACAAAGATGGGCAATTAATTAATTGTGTAATGCACTTGTAATTCGATATGACTGCTTTCTCTGTCCGGCTGGCTTTTTTGAGCAAGTCTAGGACTTCCTTATTTTACTTAATCCTTGCATTTTCAGTTGGTTCCGGTGCTGGACCATCTGTCAATCAATTTGAAATGAACAAGGGACCCAGAACTGCTAAAAGTATGGAAGCTTAATATAATTTTTGGATTTCTCTTCCCAAAACGACTTAAATAAAAAGTTTCTAAAACAAGAGTTTGATCTAGAAATCGTAATCTCCTAAAAGTTCCAAATGTATTGAGCAATTAATGGTATTCTGATTTCCCAAAAAGGCAGAACCAGAAAAGAAATTCATAGGAATGCGATCAAACATTTGTGGAACTGTAACCCATGCCCATTAATCTGTATATCTGTGTTGTAAAACCAACCAAAAATCAATTATGTACACAAAAAATGGAAAATTACTAAAAATATAGAAAGTCACAATTCTTTCTTTTTCAAGATGGATAAGAAGAAACCAAATTGCTTGGTATACAAGCAGAATTCTTCCATGTCCTTGCATGCAATTTTAAGATCTCTCTAGCCTTCTCCTTGGTCTTGCTCCCACTATCCACCTGAAGAACTAAGCATAGCTTCGCCACAATACCCAATTGCATCATCTCCTGCAAAACATTCGACGTCGCGGAAAACTTGCAAATGAAGAACAAAATCTTCACTGCCCTCTCGCTTGCCACCTTCGAGACCCTCATTATCTTCTTAGACACCACGGCTAGTCCTGCGCCGTGGGTCAGCAGTTCTGCGCGGCCTTCCGCGCAGCCGCATAGCATGTCAAGCACCAAGAGTGTCATTTCCAAGGTTCTCCTATCGGAAGAAGTATCTAGAAGAAGCTCAATCAAGACCATAACCGCCCCGGATTCAACGGCTTTGATTCTGTTTCGTCCCCATGGACAGAGCTGGATCAACAGTTGCAATGTGGCTTTTGAGGCCTGTTGTGAGATTTGATCATTTAAGACCCGAACAACTTGGACGAAGAATCCAGGTTTTACGTTTGTCATCCTCATCGAATCAGCAACCTCGAACATTGATCTCAACAACATCACAGCGTACGTCCGAGATTCGTCGCTCCCACGTTGCATGAGTTTGATTAAGGCCTCGACAAACTCACCCTCTTTGCCTATTAGGGTTTTGAGAACATCTTCACTAAGATTTAGGTTGTAGAGGATGCTCAAAGCTTCTTCATTTTCGGCGTTGTCTCTGTCGTTCTTGATGTTGTTGATTATCGTTGAAGCAAGGAACTCGCCTGCACCAGTGGCTTCAATGCTTCTCTTGTTGGCTTCGCTTTGGGATGAAATGGATCGAAGCTGACTGAGGCATTTTGCCAGACCGTTTGGGGACTTTTTGGCGTCTCGGAGGAGCTTATCGATCTGAGATTTGTTAACGGGAGGCTTCGGAGTTGGGATCCTTTCGATGCCGTGAGAAGCGTTCATTGTGCACCAAGCTTGGAGCAATCGGCGAAGAGTGTGGTTGGGAGTTATGTCGGAATCCTCCGAAACCACTTGTTTGGTAACGGGACAAGTCTTGTTCTTGCTCGAGAACAACCATTTCTCTATGCTCTCTCGATCGTATGTGATCCCGGTCGAGATTGTGACGGGATCCTTCATGATTTCTAGAGAAATGGGGCACAGGAAAAATGAGGGAACATCAATTTCTTGGTCCATTTGATCGAGAAATCCAAAACCGAAACGAGAAACCTGCCGAAGATTGAGAACTGACAAAGGATACTTTTGGTTGATCAACAAAGTGTTTGATTAAAGGTGAGAGTTGAAGATTGATATGAAGGTTTTTTTTTATGTAGTTGTGAATTGGTTTGAACTTTGAAAACGTTGTGAGGAGGATATATGACAAAGGAGTTGAGTTTGTTTATATATATACAGGTGGGGAAGAGAATGAGATTTTCAAATTGAGAAAGTCAAAACACGGTACATATGTGTGTGAGAGAAAGAGAGAAGAAGAAGGTGAAGACTTTTCCAAGTTATTGAATAGCTCAAGGTTGACGAACGTTTCCAGATCATTAAAGTGGCACGAGGTGAAATAAACATACAAATACATACAAAGTTTTTGGGCAAAATTGACACACGCACAACCCTAACTCCCTTTGCTAAGTGAACAACAAAGCTACGGGGACGTCACACACAACTCAATTATTATTTGATATCTTTGATATTTTGAAGATTTCAAATATTTACGGGGACGTGACACACGCACAACCCTAACTCCCTTTGCGGCCTCAACGCCACCGAAACCTCCTGTGCACGGGTGCATACACACAATCAACATTTCCATATAACAAACTTCACTCTTACATAATACTAATGGCCTTAGAGTATTTTAACTCAAAAATGTGAAACTTTCTATTGCCTATTTGGTTCACTGACGATGATCACTTTTTATTTTGTTGAAAAGATTTTGAGTTCAACTCTCATTGATATTGAAAACAAAGATTAATTGTAAGTTTTTACGTACATGTATGAAATAAAATCTGAACACATATCCTCATATTTGGCATGAATTAAACCAAATAATTACACAATACAAATTAGGCTTATTCTGATATCCTAATAGAACAAAAAACGTACCTTGAACCAAAATCAATTAGCAATTGTTGAAGACCATAATTATATATTGAAAAATCAGAGTTTACATTATCAATGTGAGAAAATCTCTCAACACACTCCGTACTAGGGTGCAATGTGCACGGGATTGTGTACTCTACACTACTG